TCCCTATCTTCTAGAGGGCAAACTCCGGATGGGGGCTGAATGGCTAGTTGTTGGGGTGCAAGGGGGCCCACTGTTACTGGCTACTCTTCAGGATCAGAAGGACATGCAAATAAGTCTGTTCGATGGGTCACAGAAGGCCCAGGCGAGCCTGCCATTGCAATGGAATCTGTAGAGGAGAATTCCTGGCCTTCATCCTCACTCTTCAACATTGGAGGATCCTGACCAGGCTGAACCCGGGTGAGTGATCCCCAGGGGAAACAGGCCCGGAAGGCTGGGCCTGTAGGTGAGCCCTAGAAAACTGCTTTTCTAAAGCCTTTTGGCGTCAGATGGCATCTCTGTTTAGGCCCGAACAATGCTTAGTCCCCTGCCTAGAGTAAGGCTTGCTTGCTCTGATGGCCTTCCTGGTTGCCTTGCCAGCCTGTCTGGTACAAGCCCTGCTGGTGGAGGGACCAATATGTTGCTCCTCATGGGCCCCATCTGCCATGATTGAATGTGGGTATGTAAGGCCTGGAAGATAACTTTCCCCCACTCACCACCTGAGATGAAACTGGCCTTAGCGCTCTGGTGCAGAGGCACTGAAGGCAGGGGCAAGCAAAACTCAGCAGTCCTTTGATTGGTGAAGGAGAATGGTGCGAGCTCCAAGCTCCCAGCATCCACACAGGTCAATTAATGTGGGGCGCGACCACGTGGGCCAGAAACCTCCGCTACCGCCCTCTACCTTTATAGTGCAGCTGTGAGTTGGCAAACCTGCCGGAATTGAGGACAGGAAGACTTCTAGCAGCGACTTGCAAGAGACAGGCAATCTGGCAGCTTTAGCTGCTTTTCGCGGCAAAAGTAGGTCAACAAAATGGCGGCCGGAACTTTGACCCTCTCAAAATGGCCACCACCACCTGCGACCCTCTCAAAATGGCCACCACTGTCTGCAACCCATTTAAAATGGCCACCCGCATACACCAGAGAGCTCTGAGGCTCTGTGCCAATAGTCGGCTCACTCAGAAGCATGGTCAGCAGCAACGGATGTCCCAGCTGGGTTACAATCGCAGCAGGATCGCTGCGATCACACTGGCGTCGGCACTCCGACCCACGCGCCTTCCCCAATAGCAGCCTGCAGCCTCAGGGTGCCCAAGGAAACTTAGGACATCAGAGAGGCTGAAATTGGTGAGGACCAGGGAATTAGGATAAAAGGAAAACTCACCAAGCTCACTCCAATAATCAGGAAGAAGATAAATTTTGTAGTAAAGTAGAAAAATACAGAGTCCAAGCAATTACTTAGGAATGAAGAGAAACTGGAAGCGCCTCCACTGAGCACTGTTCCCTCTAAGGTGTGTGGCTGTGCACGTGGCAAGAAAACACCGCGCAGCAGTTTCTAACTGCTGCACAGTGATTTCTGTCACAGGCTCCAGAAGCTGAGGGGCCTCAGAAAATCTAGGATTAACAGGGGCGTGGGGACGGCGGCAGGAGCTTATGCGGCACAGCCAATCTCCTAGGTCCTCCTAGGCACTGGCTGCTCCACTCATTACCATCAGTCGCCCCGTGTTCAGCAAAGCAAGCCCAGGGAGGTCCTTTGTAGGTGGACAATCCTAGCCATTTGCGCCTGGTGCTGCGGCTGAAGTAAACCCCCAAAGCTCCCGCCGCCATCGAAATATCTGCTGCCGCCGCCTCCTCCTCCTCCAACAGCACTGCCGGATTTACCACCCGACACTGCGGCTGTGGTGAAGCCGCCAAAGCTCCCGCCGGCACCCCCACCTGTGGCAGTGGTGCCTCCCCCTCCACGCGGAGCACCTGAGCTGGGCCTCACGTTATCCCTCCTTCTCCTCCTCTGCCGTGCTTTTGAGGCCGCGGGAGCCAGTAGGAAGGCGGCGGAGTGGGCGGGAGCAGGAAAAAAAGGCCTCATGGCTTCTCAAAAGCATGGTGGAGGAGGCGGCAGCGGCAGGGGTAACACAGAGCCCAGCTCAGATGCTCCACGGGGAGGGGGAGGCACCGCCGCCACTGCCATGAGCGGGGGCGTCAGCAGGAACTTTGACGGCTTCACCTCAGCCGCAGTGTCAGGTGGCAAATGTTTTGTGTAAGTAGCATTCAATAACTCTGTACACTCAAGGTTTTACCCCTTTCAGAATAGCAACAGGCCAGGATTTCAGCCCATGCCTGAACTACCCACAGAAGAACTCTCTATCCCCTCACTTAAGGAGTGGATAGACACTTTACGAAACACATGGCCAGTAGTTAGATTAGCTTTAGTGAAAGCTAGAGAGGCTTTTAAAATTCAAGCTGACAAGAAAAGAATGGAACCCAAACCTTTCCGTGTTCGAGATAGAGTATATTTATCTACAAAATTCCTGAAATCATTACAGCCATCCAACAAATTAGGGCCAAATTTCATTGGACCTTTCCTTATTACTAGTGCCATCAATCCAGTAACAGTAGAATTACTCCTTCCAAAGACACTCAGGCACATCCACCCAGTATTTCACATTAGTTTACTTAAACAAGAGGTACCATTTTTTTCAGAGTATAAGAAGCACTTTTCCCTAAAAATATGGATGCGTCTTATACATAGAATGCAACATTTTTTGCCTCCCGAAACCCCGCCCCTTTACCAAAATGGCCGTGCATAGCCTCCAGGAATCTTTTAGAGAGCTCCTGGGGGCTGGGGAGGGCAGAAATGAGTAAAAAACAGCCCATTTTTGCACAATTTTACCCCCTTCTACCAGTCTCCAGGTGCACTCTACAAGCTTCCTAAAGTCTATCTATGGCCTTTTTTTACGAAAAAACATGCCCGTTTTCGCAAAAAATGGGCCATTTTTTGCCTGTTTTGGAGGGGCCACCCCCTCCAGGAGCACTCTGCAAGCTCCTTAAAGGCTATTCTTTTTTGGGGGGAAACAGGCCCATTTTCGCAAATAACAGGCTGTTTTTAGGAGGTTTGCAGAATACAAAATCTTTTTTTAAAATTTGCCTCTTCAAAATTTTGGTGAGTCTTATACTCCAAAAAATAGGGTAATCTTGTCACTCAGACAACCCATACCTATACCACCTGTTCCCATCATGATAGGTGAACAACACTTTGAAATCAAGGAAATCCTTGACTCTAGGATCCACAGAGGGAAAACCCAATTCTTAGTTACTTGGAAGCATCTACCCTCGTCGCTAAACACCATGTTAGAGCCCCTACCTTACTGAAAAAAAATCACTCCCAATACTCTAGCAAACCTTATTAAAATACTTTGATGAAATTTTTCTTTCTATCTTTTCACAGGTGGATCTCTCTTTTTTCTTAGGAAGGCAGTGATACTACCATTCAATTTGGAGAAGTGGGGGCTTTGAATTCGATTTATTAGCAGTGCCTGTGACAACAAATATTCTACAACCTGTTTCCTTGACGCCCAAGCGCCGTGAAATCTCCTCGTCTTTTAGGGAATGTTTATGATGGCTATGTGGGATGGTTCACTTTAATGTCTAACAGAAGATATGGTAAAGGAACCACCTTTACACTTGTGTATTGGCTAAAATCTGTATTCTCACTAGTGGGAGGGTCTCTACTGCTTCAATTCTACTTGCCTTGCTTAAGGGGATTCAGACGTTGCTTTGAACTTATTGTTTTCACTTCTGCTTAATAAAAGCTTCCTTTTGAAATACTTCATTTCAAGATTCTTTACTTTCTTAAGTTAGAAGGAGAAGCAATCCTTATAATATGAAACAGGCAGAATGAAATGGGGGAAATAGAACAATATTACTATGAATATTTTTATGTAAGATGTCAAAATTAGTATACAGATGAAAGGATAAAAATGTAAAAGATGATTGTATTATGTACAATGATATAATGGTGTGAGGATGATCAATGTAAGGTTATCAAAAATGTCAATTTTATTATTATTATTTGGTAACAAAATGAATGATATCCAGAAACCAGTTCATGTATTTAATACATATATTTAAAAATAAAAAACCCCTTGTAACAATATAAAAAAAGGACTCAAACCCTGAGCTGCCAACTTTCCAGCCAAGCCCAGCATCTTAACCGTTGAACCTCTGTGCCACCCAATCACAGACGACCCATTCTTTAATTACATAAAGAGGAAAATCCTTATAGTTGGCCTAATTTAATTTTTGTATTTAATTTACTTAAGGAACATTACATATGAAGTACAGACCTTACTTTCTCTGTTGTTTCACCCTTATTCATATTCTATCTGGTTATTTTTCTTTAATATTTTCTGTCCTGATCATGCCAATTTAAAGTGTCTTTATAAAGTCAAACTTTGCTCAACTTCTTAAAATCATATGTTAATCAGTAAATCTGGTCAATAAACCAGTTCCTAGTTGATTCAAGTTATTTCTTACACTCCAACAACCAGTCTCCAAAGATCTCTATCAATTTCAACATAGAGAATATCTACCATAATGCCCACTGCTCTTTCATTGAAGAAAAATAACGCAGAAAGAGGAACCACAATTTATATCCCAATCAGAGAACAGGCAAGAGAACTATAACTTAGTATCTCACATCTCTTTTTATAAAATAAAAATAAAAACAGTACCTATTTTTTAAAATTATAGCTCCTGCACTGAATCTGTTGGAGCCAACAAAATAAAGCCAAGCTTTATTTCTTGAGCTCCTGTACAACTGATGTTGGCATTCTTTTTCTAGCACACTCTTATATTTTTAAATATATAAAACTTCCACAACTGTGCCAGGTCAATATACAAACAACAGATTTCACTGATTATAAACAGTCTTGTAGGCTTTTCACGACTGAATGGTTTTCACTTTGATTGGTAATCAGAAAAGCTGTAAACCTACCTGTTTTCTGGTTGTAAATTCTTTTGATTTATAACTGGGAAACTTTGCTTTAAAATTAAAACGGCACTCATTTGAGACATGATTCCACTTTCTAAAACACCCTTACATTTCCCATTCAACCAAGTTTGGGAAATTTACCTATGAATAGCATGCTGCCTTAAACATATGAATACTATCTACTCCTTTCAAATGCACCAACCTTTTCAAAAACACTGGATGGTGTCATCAAACAAAACCTGATATTCTGAATGATGGTGTCAGTATGTCTCCAGCGTCTTCTATCATGCCGCAGCCAAGTCTGAACAGCCTCATAGAGTTCTATCTCTGGGAATCTGCTCAGATGATCATTATCCAAATAAGTCATAAGCTTTTCAAAACTGAGACAGGACAAAAAATCAGGTCTGGCCATGAGAGGCACAAAATTTTCTAATAAAAAGGAATCCAGTTTTTCTCTTACTCCTTCAATGTTTACACCAAAGTCATCTAAAAGTCTCATAATTTCTGCACAGTTTTCCAAACATATTTTTGCTAAAAGAAAGGAGCAGCAGAACTTCACTACTTCAATAAGTTGAACATACATGGCAGCCTGCAGGATCTCATGAACAGTGCTCATGCTCAGTTCAATAGTTCCATAGTACATGAATTGGAGAACGTGGCTGAAGCCTGTTGCTGTCAGTCCTTTTAAGTGGATTTTGTCCTGATCTCGTTCCCTCATATCAGCAGTAAACATAATCCTGAAGTAATCACTTTGAGTAGCAAGAAGTGCTTTATGAGCTTGAAATTGGTGATCCTCAATGACAAGAGTGACATCAAGCAGTAATCCCTCCTCATACAGTGTTCTGAACCCTGCTGAGATGCTGGTGTCATGGATGGAGGAACTAAACCCTTCCACGTCCCCTGCCATGAATCACCTAGAAAAATGTAAACAAAGAAAACTTTAGAATTTCATGAAATTCCTGAAGGTTGGAAACCTTAATATTTAATTCATTGCTTCATTTTTGAATAATATAATTGACATCTTATACAACAACAGTCAGTGTAGAAAATCATACTTTAGTAAAAGTAATCATAACAATCAGTTAAAGATTTGTTTGAATATTAACTGTTTATTCTTTATCCTCAACTTTCATACTATGCATATTAATTATAATTATATTTCATGGAACTAGGTTTAAACTACAAAGTATTAAATTTGAACAAAGACCAGCCTTATTTGCAAATGAAGGGATGATTGAGCAAAAGATGCTACATTAAAAAAAAACATCTTTGAGTTATTCTTGACTAATGGTGATTGGTTAGATGTGTCCAAGCAGTTTTCTTGCAAGATTTTAAAAGCTTTTTAAAATTTATGTCACATATATTTATACCAATTTAAGATCATCCTAAACTTGTGTAAGGTTGAACACCATCAGTCATAATGGAAAAAAGATGATAAAAACTATTAATATAGCACAAAAACCAATAATCAAGCCTTATAAAATACTGAGATCACATAAAGTCCACAGTATTTCAGGTGCTAAAATGGATAAATAACTAGACAAATGCATCTCTACTGCAATTAATAATATGCTCATTTTAAGGAAAATTCAGCAATGTGAAATAAGCAATTGTGTTTCATAACCCCAATCTTTTAAACATGGTTTAGAAATGGGATAAATTACAGCTAAACTTGCTTTCCCTTTACTATTTCCAAATATAAAGAATTTGCTTCGTTTATATTCTCAGCCTAGATCAGATAGGACAGGGGTCTGCAACCTTAACACTCAAAGAACTCTGTCGCGTGTGTGTGTGTGTGTGTGTGTGTGTGTGTGTGTGTGTGTGTGTGTGTTCCCCCTAAAACCATTTCCAAAAACAGGTGAGGGTTGTTGTTGTTCTGCTGATGTTGTTCTTTATTCTTCTTTGGGGACTTTTTAATATATGATTTGAATCAAGAGTCATTTCAGGTTCCTAGATGAATGAGGCACTTTCGTCCCCCTGCTGTGGCTCCCTGTCAGCTGAACCCACCACTAGCTGGACCTGCCCCTCACCCTCCCCTTCCAGTCACTCCTCACCTGGCCTGAGAAGCTAAGGACAACAGAGGGGAATGGAGACTCAGGGGAATGGAGACTCATTCCATATTTCAGAGTGGGAGCGATGATGGAAGATGAAAGAGCCACATGGCTCTGGAGCCGGGGGTTGCCGACACTCAAGATAGGAAATACAACAAGATGAACTAATACTACTTTATTCTAAGGTTACATTGACAGAATCTTGCAAATCTGAAAGTACAAATCTCTCTCTATCTCTTTTTACCACCTGATTAGGATGGTAAATTAGGGCAGATCCTTTCTAAGTTTCTTTCTCTGTCCATTATGCAGTTGGGGCTCTTCCATTCCTTTCTCAAGGTTATATCCACATACCATTACAATATCAGAAAAGTCCAAATGATAAATTTCCTAATATAACATTTATAGATAAGCAGCATACAGAATCACAATGCTAGTTTAAAGATCTTTTTAAATCAGTTATATTTTAATTCTTAACCTTCTCTGAACCTTCAAACAGATAAGTACTATAATACTCTGGGGCATCACTCCAAAGACCTTATTTCAAAGTATCCTTTATAGAGAAGACTTCTAAGATCCCAAGGATATTTCCTAAATGTCTGTCATAATAAACAAATATTTAAGAACCATTTTTGAAATATTAAGTTACATAATTTTAGTCTGATTGTTTTAAAAACTTGAGTTTATTTTGTAAGTTTTAATATTTTCAATTTGGTTTTAATTTTTTTCCTTTTTAAATCAATAACCAAATAGTATTTTGAAAGTATGAGACATACGAGTCATAAACTTTCTCTCTCTATTGAAGGCCCTATTGACTTATTCTGAATCTTAGTTCTAAAACAGACAAATAGAAGCTTGCACTGTAGAGTGTAGTTCAAATATGAAGTCAATAAAATGTTAAACATGCATTTGTAGGAAATGACCAGACTGAGTCTGAGGGAGGGGTCAGTCTGGTTACCCCCTACAGTATTTACAGAATATCCCACACTGCAAGTGATGGTTGATAACATGGAATACCCATAGGTAGACAGAAATTTATCTGGCAAAGCAGTTTTTCTGGTGCCATTTCAGTTCAAATTGCGACAACCCAATTCCTCCTTCCTCCTTGTGGATTGCCAGGAATTAGGCCATATAAATGAGTGGTCCCATCCATGCACACACAGGATCCAGGCAGCAGGCAAAACTATACCCCCAGGCAGCAGAAAAACTATCCTCCACTGAACTGATCCTTGGTGCCCAAAGTTTTGAGAGGGAGGCACTGTATTATATGAAATTTCAAGATGAGATGTTAAGATCAATTTGACATTCAAGTAATGATATACATACAACAACTGTAATGTGACAGAGTTTATTTTTATGAAAACAATGTATGTAAATAAATGTGAAACTTTTTTAAAAATGGGAGCAGTGGGCTGCAACTCTTGGAGTAGATTGTTTTCAGACCCAAGTGATATGCCAATCACACTGAAATATTTTCTCTCTCTTCTCCCTCTCCCTATCCTAAGCCTCCTTCTCCTCACTTGTTTGTGGGAAGGGAGGGTTGTTATTTACATCACAACATTCAATGCAACCATATGAGCAGTATGGTGATGAAGATGCTCGCCTCCCACTCAGAAGGTTGAGAGTTCAATCCTAGGTAGCAGCAGATGTTGCTCTCTTGGGGCGTCAAGAAAAAAAAATCTGGTGTGAACTCTAAGTAGGTGTCAGGAAAGGCACATACCCAGTAAACACTCAGCTCCATCCAGTCTTTACCCCGAATTAAGGGACTACAGTAAAAAAGGGAAAAATCAATGCAAATATATATTGGACAAGAGGAAATAACAAAAATGCATGCAATTAAAAACAAAATAGAACTTTCAGAGCGAATTGAAAACCCAGATAGCTAGAATCCTGAAAAAGAACTTCCCAAAGATTTAGACTAGAAGTTTCATCTGCATTCAAAGGCCCATTTGTATGAATGACATATATGAAGGTGCTGGGAGAGAACATCTGTTTATCTGTTTGAGATAAGATATTTTCAGTATGCTGATGTTATATATAACTATATATCACCACCCACGATTGAGCCAGAACTGCTGTGGTAATCTTAACCTACTGTTGGAAGGCTATGAGAGTCTGGATGATAGATACAAGTCAGGGGTGTTTTGCTGTCGGTCTTACTACTGGTTTGCAATCCACTTGTGCACACGTGCACTGTTCAGTGAAAATTGTTCTTCACACATGCACAGAACAATTTACAGTAAACTGCGCATGCGCAGTCACTAAAAAGAAAAAATGGTGGCACACAGCAGCAGCAGCAAGGAAACCGGTTTGGGGGCGTGGCAGGCCTGAGTCACTGCCGGTTCTGCAACCCAGGCCTGAATTCCATTGCCAGTTCGCCCGAATCAGCAGCAATCCACTTCCAACACAAGTCCCAGAAAGATTGCTTTGTTATTTTCCTACCTCCATTCCTAAAAAATACTCTGTCTCAAATATAGTCTCACCATTAGCTTTGGATTAAATCATCTTCCCACTGAAATAACAGAAACCTTTTGAACTCATGCCTCCATTTCAAACAACAGACAAAAGTAATAGACAGGGAGGTTTTTGCCCAGCTGAGGCTGATATTCCAGTTGTACCTTTATCCAGGTCAGAAGGCCCTGCAACATGCCCCAATTACCATGTATTTAAATTATTGCAATGTACTTTACTTTGATACTGTCTCTGAAAATAATTCGAAACTAAAGCTGATATAAATGTGGCAACCAGGAATGTAACAGGCTAGAGCCGTGATGGTGAATCTATGGCATGTATGCCACCAGTGGCATGCAGAGCCCTCTCTACAGGCATGCGAGCTGTCACCCCAGCTCAGCTCATGTGCGCGCATCTGCCACCAGTAAGCTGGTTTTTGGGTGTCTGCCACACATGCTGGGGGAAGGGGCGCATACACAGGGGCAGGGGTCACAAATGCATGCATAGAGGTCAAAGGCTGATAGGCATGCCTCCATCAATAACCAAGAAAGAAAACTCCCAACTCCACTGTTCATGGAATTAAAATACTTTTACTTTTATGAAAAGATAGCAGCAAAAGTAAAGCAAGATCTGAGCCAGAAAGACACGAACAAGTACGTATCAAATAATAACCCAGCCCCCTCCCTCCAACGACCCCACCCAGGGGTCCAATCTGCAATTCCCTTAGGTATCATGTGGGATGCATCACCAAATGGCATCATCATATTGGTATGCAGGACGGTTGGCCTTGATCAGGTCCAAACACCGGCCACCAGCATGCGCAGAAGATGGTGAGAAGAAAACTCCCTTTTCCATATCACCTCCTATACCATTTATTTTCATCCCAATATACCATGCCCTCACCCTCCCTATTTCTATGACAGCCGATAGCAAGTAAGCGAAGCAGAGGCTGACACAGTCATGTGTGGGGGCATGGTGCATTCAGGGGGTCGGGCATGCACGGGGGAGCAGGGGGGCCACATGTGCATGTTTTGGGGGCGCATAAGAGGATGTAATGCTAATGTTAATGCAACAGTCATATATATCCATTCAGGTTCATCAAATACTCTCAACTACACACATTTTTCAAGTATTTTAATTACATTTCAATTGCTACAAGCTAGCTATCCAGTTTTTCTACAGCTACAGACTATGAATTGAAAACTATGATGACACCTTTCCAAATTCCTGTTGTTTTCATATTTAGTCCAGATTTTGCCTAGTTTCTAGTAATACATGCATTATGGGTGCGCATGCGCACACACTGTTGCATGCATGCACATGCACTTTCGGCATGCAATGACATAAAGTTAGCCATCACTGGGCTAAAGTTATTATGTGAGCATAATACCCATTTTTGGTGATTATTTTCTGATAGACTAGAGCTAGCCGTCCAATAAAATTCAAAATGCTGTTTTTTGACCTCCAAAGCTCTGTAAGGTTTGCCTTCACAGACTGTTTTCCTCACAATATAATCTGCCCAGCCCATGGGTACATATGGAGAAGGGATGTTTAAACTTCCAATCCTGTGAGAAATTAAAGGAACATGGAGCTATACTATGAAACCTCGTGGCCTCTTTAAAATCTTTTTAGACTATTCTAACTCTATGCAGACCAAGGTGGGAAAAGTTGAAATAAATATCCCAAATACAGTTCCAGTATGTATTTTACATTATTCCACCCTAAGAAGTCAGACAGGCTATAGAACATTCCTTTAAAGGATACAGAATTAAGTTACCAACATTTAAATAAGAGAATGGAGTAGGAGACACACAAAGATTCTACCTTGTCAGCCACTACATTTGACAAAAGTAATATCAAGATCAAAAGTTGGAATATAGTCCTTCATGGATTCTTTACACTACCTTAAGAAGCTCTGGCAGTAGTTGCTATTGAGAATCTTCATGCAGGTACATAATCCATTTTGTAAATCAAAGATAGAAACTAGCAACTCTTATGAAACACAGTAGCATACCTAGTGGTGAAGAAAATTAGGCTTTATAATATATAGGTGTCAGTATAAACAGAACTGGCCCCATTTGAAGTGTTATAGCAGAATATTTAACCCAATGTTTCACAGGTGAGTCTCTCACCAAACAGAACCTGACATTCTCTGAATGTTCCATCACAGAGAACAATAGTCATTTGAAACAACTTCTTGATCAGTCATATTTTATCTTGAGGACAAAAGTCTAGTATGAGTGCTATTTGCCCTCCAATTTATTATAAAATAAGCATTTTTAAAAAAATCCATGCTAAAACATATAAACACATTTTGTGGCTTTTGTCTGTATAAAGGATTGGAATTATCAATCATTCCCCATTCAAAACAAACTCCAAAAAAACTAGGTTGGCCCTTTCAAACTCAGAATATCTTCTACAACCCAGCAAAAGGTAGAATAATTCACATTCCTTAACTTAAATTGAACATAGTATATACTACAGATCACATCTACAAAAAAGAGTAAGTTATACGGTAATATTATTGTATGAGTTCAGGCTAAACACTACTAATATTGTCGGTGTTCCTCTACTTCTTAAAATATCTATCCATTTTGGGCATATGACTGGATCATATATTTTTCTAGTTAAAGAAAATATTCATGTGAAATAGTCATATTCTTGCTGTTTCTGTAGTGGTTATAATTTTTACAGAGATGGTTTGATAGTTCAACACCCAACCCTCCTCTCTTCTCATCTGGGCTTGCTCCTGGCAATGGTGGTCATCAAGTGACAGATGTCAAGTGCCACATTGGAAAAGCAACAGCTGATTTCCAGAAGATTAATAAAATCTAATCCTCATCTCATCATCACTACTTTAGTCATTGCCTTTCTACTGCAGAATGGAGGCCTTTTCTGCATGTTTCCAACCTATATGGTCTTGAGTTTTCTTTTGCCAATTGGACCCCCAACTGATGTTGTTGATCCATCTTGTTTTAGGTCTCTTTTGTGGTCGTTTATTATCAAGTGGGATCCATTCTGTGACTGCCTTTGTCCACCTGCCATCAGAGCTGCTTAACTCATTATTTGCATCAGTCTTCCTGCAAAAAGAAACTATAGCCCAACCTACCAAAAACTTAACTATAAAAGACAAACTAGAAATAAAAGTTAAAATAAGCAAAACAATAGTAAGAGAACACCTGTCTGACCTTGACAAATATAAATCACCAGGACCTGATGGATTACATCCCAGAGTTCTAAAAGGTCTAGCAGATGTCATCTCAGAACCACTGTACCACATCTTTCAAAAATCCTGGAACTATCAGAGGATTGGAAAAGAGCTGATGTGATTCCCATCTTCAAAAAAGAAAAAAAAGAGACCCAGAAAACTACAGATCAATCAGTCTAACACCGATACTGGAAAAGATAATAAAAAAACAAATCTACCAACATCTAGAAACGAGTAAAGTAATAACTAACAGTCAGCATGGGTTTGTTAAAAACAGATCATGCCAAACCAATCTTATCTCATTCTTCAACATAGTGACTATCATATTTTTCAGAGTATAAGACACTTTAAAGTATAAGACGCACCTAGCTTTTGGGGAGGAAAACAAGGGGGGGGGGGAAAATCTGTCTCTGCCTCCCATCAATTTGTCTCCTAACAGCAAACAGTACAGACAATATACACTGTTTGTGGTGTTACACTTCAGACTATACTTGTACAGATGCTGTTAAAATTGATGTGGCTTTCTGGAAATATACGTTATTCTCTCCTATTTAAAAGAAGATACAATAGCGCTGGGCCTCTTCAGATCAAGCATTTATTTTAAAAAGCTTCTTCATTTTATTAAATTGTCTAGAACAATAATAAAGCAGTCTTTAAAAATAAGTCTAATAATTTGAACATTCTATAGGCATTTATAGCTATTAGCAATAGCAATAGCAATAGCAA